TTATATCTTATTAGTGTTGTCTCCATGAGCGAAACTTCAAACCTTGTTATGAACTGCTACGTATTCCAGTCTTGTTATCTGCGTCAGATTTGTTTGTTTTTTAAATTAAATTGAGTTTCTGTTACATGTAGATTTTAGTGCTTTATTCACATGTAGGTGATGCCACTGGTTCTAATTCTTTAAAAAAAACGACTTTCAAGAGGAATTAGACCCTCACCCCCCTCAGACAAAATAAGGAAGAAGCAATCGGTATCTCCTTGCACGCCAAAGTGATAAAAAATGTTAGTCTGATTACAATAAATCTTGTTTAAAGTAGTGGTGTTTGTGAAAATAGCCCCCCCCCCCCACACACACACACAGAAATACACGAAAACAGTTAAAAGAAAACTATTGATAAAAACGCGATATCCGATATTTTAGTCCATATTTACACCATACCATCCTTTTTTAAGCTGCTGTCTCGAAGATTTTTGGACAAATTGACTAGACATTTCGATATTTTGTTACAACCCGTCTGTTCTGCCTTTCTCTATTGTAAAATGTCCATTATTCTGTCTTTGTGCTTCTGTTTACTCAATCTTGAAATCCATGGTCGATAACCACCAACGACCTGTCTGAGTACCAATACTACCATCCCAGCATGTGACAACATTGAGTTACTTCTTCCTTGTAATGGGATACGAGTCATTCCTAACTACAGTCTTAGCCACAGTTAGTAGCGAGTCACAGGTTACTAATTCTATGACCGAAAACAAGTCGAAAGAGAAATTTGTCAATCTGCCAACCATGATTCTTCCCAACGATGGATGTCTCGCGAGTTACTGGCTCAAAGACTGTGGAGCTGTCAACCGAACCGGATATATTAGTTAGGTTTAGATCCTAGTTGGGACCAGAGAGCCGTGTTATTTCTTTTGATTGCCTGCCTCCTCGGCCGTCTAAGAGGGGAACTTAATAGCTGAAATTGTGGGTCAGCAGATCCTTTTTTATCGCCAAAAGAAGTCCCAAGTCAGTGAACTCCGCAAAAACTTGTTGTTTTTTGTTTTGAGGGGGGGGGTTGTGGCGAGACGAAAGAGAATCTGTAAACCGCCTTTACTCGTGAGTTCTGAGTAGAGTCAGATATTCTTTGACACTTTCCTTCTTTTGACTTATCAATGATATTATTATTATGCTGAAAATTCCGTTTCACTCTTGAAATGCAACCTGCAAGTTGATCTTTCAAAGCATTTCTTTAATTTGCTAACAAACTGTTGTACTTGATTACCTACTGTGAGGTCTCATACCTCTATGACTTTTTATTTACCAGTCTGTGGGTGTCCTTCAAGATTAATCATCTTTAAAAAAATACATGTCGCCATCAGCTTCTCAAACTGTACATACAGGGGTCTTCTTATGAGCCATGGTCTAACCCAACAGGTCCTCCCCCTCTTCCTCTTCTCCTCTTCTTGCACCAGCACACAGCAAGGGCACCATACTATGTATACATGAAGCACGCATTGATCGTCTAGGTCATATGAGACATGCTGAGGGAATGAGCAAAAACATTTTGCCCCCCTCTTTATATATTATAACATTGCACGAGTGCTCGCCGACACAATCATGTCAAACGTCATGGTTAGATGCTCGTCACGATTAATCCCAAAACGTGGCATTACTTTATCGGAAATTGCTCGTCGACTCTTCTCCTGTATGTGTGAAAACCGAATAACGATTAACAATATGTCTTACAGCCTTTCGTAAGGAACATAATTCATTGTTTTTGTTTACGAATGGTTTAAATCTTAATTCATCGCTTCAATGTTCAGAGACCGTGTCTGTTGTGTGATTCGTCTTATTGTTTTCTTTGCCCGGCTAAAGTGCAAAGCAAATCTTTGTTTTCATTAGTTTCTGTTTCCCCCTTTCTATCTTTTTATTTCCCTTTTCGTCTCATTCTTATTTGCTTATCTTCTACTCTAATTTCTTTACTCCCTCTTTGTCAATACATTTTATCAGTATTTATTCTCAATCTTCTTTGCTTTCAAATTTAAGTACCCATACGTGAAATGAGACTAATTATGTCTTTGAACAGTGACCTGTTTTATTAAACCTAGATTTTTTGTACAGAGACAGAGCATCGAGAAAATGTTGGTCCAAACATTCACCAGTCCCCCCCCCCCCCAACCACCACCCTACCTTGCTCACACACACTCACACTCACACTCACACACACACACACACACACACACACACACACACACACACACACACACACACACACACATATGTCTTCTGAGATCGTAAACTCTGCTTTTTCTCTCCTTTATTCTAATCATTGTTTTCATTTATTCTATTCACCTATATGCTTTTTGACGTTTATATATATATATATATATATATATATATATATATATATATATATATATATATATATATATATATATATATATATATGTCTTTCATTTACGCAACCGTTGTTTTCCAATGTAGGCATTATCGTCAATATTCTGCTTCCATTTCCATAAAAAGGAAGCGGAGCAGAGAAAAATCTCTGTAAGAAAGTTGTGCACTCGCCAAGTCAGATAATAGCTCATAAAATGTCTCTAGACACTACATGCTTAGCTGATCTGATATATGGGAAGACCCAGTCGTATACAAAAACATAAGTTTGATGAACGAAATCAGACGAAATATACATAAACGTTAAGGAGAAATTAGAATTGATAAAAGGAATGGTTGTATGGAATACTATGCAATGCAATTATCAACATACATAATATTAAAGATTTGTTTTCGAAATGTTTTTTTTTTTTTTATATCATAATATATTATTATTATCAAAATAAAAATATAGATTGGTTCTCAAATATTACAGTCAGTACGTATTAAGCTATCTTAATCTTGATTATAAACTTGGTATTTTTTCAGCAACATCCCCGTGTACTTCATATGGCTGGAATACTTGTCTTGGTTCAAGTTCTCCAACGAGGTGTTAGTGATAAACCAGTGGCAAGACATTGACTACATCCGTGAGTATCATTGTATTTCAAGCTTCTTACTGTTGGTATCTCCACTTAAAGTTTATGCGGATGGTTGGAGATTGTCTCTGGTAAATCTTACGGGGTTTTTTTTCTTTCCCCTTGTTTTGGTCTGTCTTATCTCTATTATCTGAAAGACCGTAAGTCAAAACAGTGAAAATGGCCGCTGTGTGTGAAATTTATTAAGTTCATAAAACATGGTGTAAACATGTGTTCGATCAATAGCAACTCAGAGGCAGTGTTGTGGAAAATTTCGAACGAACAGAAACACTAATTTGCCTATCGTATTGTATGCATGTTGTTGCTTGCCGTTTTGTAAACAGAACTGAAAAATTCTGTATGAATAACGAAGTTAAGATTCTTTGTTTTTAAAGACCAAAAAATAACGCTTCTTCGAACGTTGTCGAGTGACCAGAGAGCGCATCCTCAATACGTTAAAATATGAATCAACGCCTTCCAATAATGCGCTACTTTCCCTCATTCCTGAAATAATTATGTACATTACTTGTGACATGAAGCACAAATACGCATAATGTGCTGAATTGGAAGGAAAAGAAACAGCCCTTTCCCCCTCCCTCTCCCCC